GCGTGGTCGGTCGGACACCTCTTGGCGTCGCACGATCGTACTCGCCACATTCAACAGTCAGTGCGGATACTAGGCGCTGACACAAAAAGAAAATCGTAAAGAACCGAATCCGTCCACTTCTATAATCAAAAGAGAAACAGAGTATGTTTGACATCTTACCTTGGCCTAAATCGGCCACACAAAGCGTTGCAATGGCTCGCTGCGAAGTTAAGCTTCGGTGGACTCGGTAAGCGGGATGTGGCTGGGTGATCCCTCTAGGTCGGAGAAAGAAGTCCAGGACAAAGAGACGGGATCACTCCACTAGCGGACCACTTCCCTCCGGTAATCATCACGAAAACCCAAAAAAATGAAGCTCCGCTCGGACACGAGGCCTCTTCGACCATTTTGTGATTCTTCAAGCATCTCTCCTCCAGGCCCACTCTTGTTACGAGATAATGGGATTGCCTCCCCACTGGCCTCGACCACCCCATGCTCCTTACCGTTGAGCATCCTTGAATTCATGTTCTAATAGCTTTTTCTCTTCCGAGCTTTCTCTGCCTTCTTCGCAGCCTTCTTGTCGGGCTGCCTTCTTAGCCCTCGTGGCGTCTTGCTCAGCTTCTTTTTGGCTGCCCTTGTGGCCTTGTCCAGGTCGTCCAACGATCCAGACGGAGCAGAATTTCTTGGCTCCTCTAGTACCGGGTGACCCGAAAGCTGACTCTAGATAGGCAGGAAGGTCCTTGAACGATAGTGATTTCATCTTTTCTGGTCGGTTTCTTTGTTGAAGAAGGGCAGCTGAAGAAGGTTTCAATAAAAAATAGTTAGCCGACTTAAAACATTTCGGTTGGCTTTATGATTAAATGACAACAGGAAACTAAACCTTTTGTTCTCTCGCGAGTTTCTCTTCTGTAATCTTCGGCCAGGTGATGGCGCTGCTGATCGCCCGAAAATCTCTCGGAAACATTGTAGATGTCAACCCGATGTCTAGTACATGGGAAGATGCCTATTGCCTGCAAGACAAAACAAAACGGGTTAGCAAATCAGGTGGATGCGAATATTTAAACTAAACTGTTTCAGGTCGGGCATCTCTACCCATGACCTGTGCCCACTTCGTTCGAATTGGGATATCCCGATCAACAACGGAGAATTTGTTGATCAGTACGAAGAAATAGCGATCTCTCCAGTTGACCTCCTTCAATTTCTGACCACTAGTCCCGATATTAAACCGCGTCTTCATGCTTGTATAGTACGATCCACAGTTTCTTAGCTTTGTCTGGTTTGTCTAGTATTGTTCAACGTGTCGAAGGCGGCTCTCGGCTCAAAGGGATGTCGTGCTTGATCGACATCACCAACATACTGACGACCAGGCGGATCGTTGCATGGGTAAACTGACAGATCGGCATCTCCTTCCGATCGGCGAATTCCAGCAACAGCCTTGGGAGGGGAAATCACAAATGAAAGTCTTTGAAGAAGCATTCATAGGGGCACAACCATCCTTTGGGGGAATCTCATGGCCGCTCTGAAGGACTCGGGGACCATAAAAACCACTTCAGGGCCGATGTCACATTATTCTTTCAATGTCACCACGGACTCCATAGTCGACTTGGTCGGCATCACTCCCAGCAAGTTATCACAGATCAGCCTAATTTCCTTCTCTCCCCTTCGCCTCTTAAATTTTTTCACACGGGGGGTTCATATCGATGATGCCGAACTGGTTGACTTCATCTTCAATGATGATTGCGTTCAGCTCGTCCGAGATATCCATCTCGTTTGATCCACCCTCTCGTCTGATTCGTCCCGCAACTCAGGGATCAGAAATGGTTCCCTCGGTGATGCTTCTCTCCGCTCATCAGAACGGCCCGACCTGGTCGGCGTGAAGACGCTCGGCAGCATCGCCCTTTGGTTTTCCTCTCGGACCCGTTCCTGGTAGGCGCTCGGTCCAGGGCGGAAAGATATCACTCGCATCCGAAGACGGGCGATCTGACTCTGATCGGCAGACGGCAACCTCTTTGCCCGTTTGATCGGTTTCTAACATCTTGGGTCGGCTCGCGACATCTCAAGAAATTCCTCCATAGAGACGCCGATCTCATTAGCTTTCACTTGAGCCGACCTGTTCCTCTTTGATTCTGGTCGGTCCTCTCTGATACTTAAACTTTTGGTCATCGCGGATCGAGGCTTCAACGATGGATTTGGGCTGATCGGAGAAATCAAACGGCGAGAATCGAACAAAAAACGCGGCAGAGGTCTAATTGAAGAATTCTAAACAAAATAAAACGAAGAAACAGAGAAGAGAGAGAGAAGGGACCAAACCTGAGTTTGACAGAGTTTTCGCTAAAAATGCAGAAATGAAGAAATGAAAGCCGAGTCCCTCTTATTGATACAAAAGTCTGGACGGTTATCGAGAGTTATCATTGAGTTCGGCGACATTTCAGATTTCTTCTCATTTTATTTTAATCGGCCTCTTCGCCCTCTCTCTCCTAGCGTTTGACACGTGTCAGTCCTAGGTTTGCATGCGCAGACCTATGCCTAACCTATAATGCTTTTGGCGGGAGTTTTTTCGCGCTCACATTCACCATTTGACCCTCGACACCGCGCCAGTCTGAACTCGAGGAAAAAATTACATTTTTTATCCCAACTCTTTTTGCAGCTGACCAAAATCCATATCAAGCAACACACCTCTTGAAATTTGCCAAGTAACATATCCGCACTTGCCGAACTGGGGGGGGGGGGGGGGGGGGGGGGGGGGGGGACTTACTGTTAGAGATGAGATTCGTACCATCTATAAGAAACCCGATATGAATTCTGGTTGGTCCATCTTACAAGGTTTCATGTCGGCCAAATAAATGGAAATTTTCCATTTATCAAGTGAACTCAGGAAAAACAGAAGTTCAGTCTTATCGGCAAGAAGACTTTCCTTTTTCCGAACATACATAGAAGACCGACCTGATCGGTTATAAATAGGGGAAGTCCATCGACTTCTAAGATCATCCAAAAAAAATCCTCTCTCGAGACCTAGGGCAAACTTGCAATCTTGTTGTTCTAAGCTCTCGAATTACTTTCATACTATTTTAGGTCGGCAGTCTTTACTCCGACGACCTAAAACCTCTTGTACTCTCAAGCTTCGGTTATTTAACTTAATAAGATCTCTCTTTAAACCCATTAACTCCTGTTCGTTCTTCTATATACCGAATTTGAGTTTTCACATATAACATGCATGAAAATAATTGTGAAAACATATATAATACTTCAAGCTAAATATTTTTATGTTTATATCTTTAACAATTCATAATAATATATACAAAAATATGTTATTTTAGTCACAAACATCAATTAAAATAAAAAAAAGTCATAATGACAAATTTTCAAAATTATTATATATATATTATTAATATTCGGATTTACTATATAAGGAAATATGATATTTTACATTATGGTTTAATTTATATATAATAGATGACAAATATAGTATATAGCATTATTGTTTACTTTTTTGGTAAGATAATACCAATATTAATTATTTATTTTATTCATTAATGTTTCATTTATCATATACAGTATCAAATTTTCAGCAAGATTTGTTCATATGTGTTTTCTTAGTTTGTCGGATTTAAATCAATCAATTTAATTACGTTAAAGTTTTTTATAAATTGATAATATTGTGATTTCAATATTTTATTACCTTTATAGAATTATAAATGTATCAGTTTGGAATTTAAATAAATTATCTATTAATAATTAATTAAAAATTATATTTGCTTTAAAAAGTTAATTATATCTTTAAATATTTCACTTTTAAATTATAGATAAACCATAAAATTATTTCAATTTTAAGAAAAACAAACCATTATATATTTATATTTTAGTAAATTATCATAATTATATATTTCTATACAATTATTTTATGGTAATTATTAATTTATAATATTAAAAGAATCATATATATTTATATAGATTTCCTAAAAAATATTATCTTATCGATTTGTATCATATTTTGAACAAGTCTAATTAGGACTAGGAAAATTTATTAATTTATTTAACTAATAATATTTAATAGATAAGTAACAAACTATTTAAATAATAATATTTAATTATTTAAGAGTCAAAAGTAACTAAATAGGTACATATATATTGTATACCAAAATCTTAGACATTGGTGAAAATAATGAATTATTTCACCAAAGTTTTAACTGCGTCAGATATAAGTTCACATGGAGGATTTTCAATATTAAAAAGACATGCCGTTGAAATGTCTTCCTCTGCTGGTATTTTCATATTAATTTCTTAACCTAATAATCTCATATATGACTCGATTTGTGAAATTTTTATATGACTCTTTGCATTGAATTTTTTTAGGACATGTCTCAGCCAACACCGACTCAAGAAATAGTTGTTAAAGATCTTCACGGTTATGAATGGAGATTTAAGCACTCCTTTAGAGGTAATATATTTTTTTATTTATTTCAAACTCTGCGATTAATGATCTCCATTTAACTATAAACAATCAAGTAGGTACACCAAAAAGGCATACTTTTACAACTGGTTGGAGTGCGTTCGTGACAGCAAAAAAATTGGTTATGGGAGACTCTTTCATATTCCTTAGGTATATATAGTTTGTCGTTTTATATTCCTTTGTTTCTTTAAAAAACAAAATTGAAACTTTAACTACTTTCTTATTCAAGAGGAAAGAATGGGGAGTTACGAGTTGGAATACAAAGAGCAGCTTATCAACAAGACAATATAGTTTCATTGATAATTTCAAAACACAGAGTATGCACCATGGAATCATTGTTTCTGCAATGAATGCTATCACTACCAATTGCGTGTTCAATGTGTTCTGTAAGCCAAGATAATAAATAACACTTTTTTATTCTACTTAAAACATCATATGATTAATGTTTTCAACAAATATGCTTATATTTTTTTGTTCTTGATATAATTATATAAGGTCAAGCCAATTTGTCGTCAAATATAAGAAGTATATGGATGCAATGAATAACAAATTCAATGTAGAATCAAGTTTTACAATGAAGTTTGAGGGTGCTAATTTTACTAAAACAAGGTAAAACTTAAAAACCTATATTTTGTTATTTGTTTCCAAAATATGATTACGAATTTCTGTTTTTTGTTTTCATTGTTAAAGATACTCGGGGAAGATTATAATCAATACAAATTATTCCTCTCATTGGAAAGATTCTGACTGGCGAAGCTTAGAAGTAAGATTCTTTATACTTGAGTTTTTTATTACAATAATAGCATTCATTAACTCTCTTTTGTAGGTGAAATGGGATGTGGCTGCATCAATTCCAAGACCTACTAAGGTTTCCCCATGGGAAATCGAGGCTTTGGCACCTTCATCAAATATTATCCAATCACCTTTGCTAAAGAATAAACGACCACGTCATGTTGATGAAATTGGTAAGAGAACACTATTTAATAGGTTAAGTCCTCTTTGTGTAATCGTTCTCATATGTATATTCTAATTTATAGGTTTAGATATGCGGATTCCTACCCTGACTCAAGGCCAAGAAATTGGACAGTCAAGCAGGAACTCTCCAATGAGTATTTCTCAGTTTAGTAATTTTGATGCAACCGATTATTCCAAGATTTCGTCTGGCTGGGTAATGAACTACTCAGTTCCTACCATAACTAAGCCGAACAGTAATGACCAAATGGTTATGTCTGTGAATGAAAAGATAACCACTGATACAACAAGTGGTTACAAATTGTTTGGAGTTGATAAGATGAATCCACCAGAGACGAAAGATCTCCTTGGACAAATTGACTTATATCAAAAAGTTAAAATTTCTAGAATCTCCGATGAAGAAAAAATTGAACAAGTCCAAACTCCAGCATCATCAAAGATATCCAAAGCAAGCAAATCAATTCTAGTAGAAGTCGTATCAAGGTATTGAAAAAATCATCAATTTCTCATTCTTTACATATTACTTAGTTTCAAAAAAATTTATATTGTACAACTAGAGTATTAGAGAATCTGGGTATGATTAGAAAATTAAATACACAGAAAAAATGATTTCTTATATATTAGATATGTTTTTTTATTAGTAAAAAATAGAGTAAGACAATTTTGATTAGCCTTTATATTCTTAATATTGTTATTGAACAGGTTCGAATGCAAGGTGTAGCTATAGGAAGAGCTGTGGATTTAACTGTTCTTGATGGATATACCCAATTAATTAATGAACTAGAATCACTTTTGATCTCAAAGACGAGCTGCGTACGCGCAATCAGTGGGACATAGTTTTTGTAGATGATGAAGGAGATATCATGCTTGTTGGAGATGATCCATGGATGTAAGTTTTTATTCTTTTTATTTTTTCCCTCTCCTATATTTTAGAAAGAATTTAATGAGAATGTTTAGTTTTGTATGTAGTGAGTTTTGCAATATTGTGAAGAAAATATTCATACGCTCCAAAAAGGAAAGTCAAGATAATGAGATCGAAAAAACAAATTCTCTAAAGGTGGCTCAACACTGAAAACAACAACAAACAACAACAACTTTTTAATTTTAATTTGATTTTCCACCTCTTTGCTTTTATCTCAAAATAAATACTTTTCAGTGTTGTCATGTTTTTTCTATTTCGTTTATGTGAAAGTTATGTTGATAACTTAAATGTGTTTATGTTTTCTGAGTTTTGTTATGTTTAGTGTTTTCTTGATAAGAAAAGTTGTTTATTACAGAAACCAAAATGAAATACATAAGTTCATTGTCAACAGAAACAACCTTGGAAACATAAGCCCACAAGAGAGAAACTAGGCCCAAACAAGTAAAACTTACTAACAAAGACTAAATCACACAACAAAACAAGTAAGCCTGCAAACACCCAAACCAAATCTGAAAGGATCAAAGCAAATGATCAACAAAAGCAGAACAGCTATATAGCTTGCTCGGCCTCAGCAACAAGACTCCAAGCAAGAAAGACATCAATGAGGGAAGCTTCTTCCTTTGATGAAGAACTGAACACACACAAACCACTACCCCCTTGGCACATAGTTATTGGGAGATCTCGGGATGACGAGATCGATGTGAACATATTTCCTCCTCATTATTAGGAAAGTTAATATTAATGTGTATATTACCTTACTGTTAAATAAGTATAATTCCTATATTAAATATGTAAAGAACTTGCTAAATAAGTTATAAAATTTGTATAAATAAGCCTATTAGCTAATGAATAAAGATGAGAGAAACTATTATACTACAAAGGTTTCTTCCAAACTTATGATGGTATCAGAGCTAAGATCGGTTTGAGTTTTGTTATTTTCAGAGCAATAGTCACATACAAAAGACTTTGTTTGATCCTTGGCTGCCTACTGCTGCAGATTTATCTTTCTATTGGTTTTTCTTCTCTAACTATTGATTTCTTAAAAAACAAAAAGAGAGAGAGGATGACGTGATTGTCCAAACTTCTCAAGAAATTCAAGTTTTTCCTGCTAATATTTATTATTCTATTTTCTTGGTTACTACTATATCTTAAAAAAAAAGAAGGAAGAAGAAAAAAAAAGTTCTTATTTACTTCGTATGAGAACTACGTTGTTATTATTATTTCGTGACTTAGTACTACCAGGTTTCTTATGCTTGCGACTTGGATGCTATTGGTTATGATGATGACTCCAATGGATATATACTGATCCGGTGGTGATGATGATGTGATGAAGTTTATGTGGACTATGAACATGAATTAATTGATGGGTTCGTTCAGTTCACATGGTGATATGATGACGAGAAGATGGAGATACACAGCACTACGATCATGATGTATTTTCCACCGAATGAGAACCTTGTGGCGAGGTATAATGCCATTGATGACCCGACGGTTGGGTATAAACACCTTGAAGACGACCTGATGATTTGTCCAATCTCATACGTGTTACTATGTATGAGCTTGCGGGAGGATGTTGGGAGATCTCGGGATGATGAGATCGACGTGAACATATTTCCTCCTTATTATTAGGAAAGTTAACATTAATGTGTATATTGCCTTACTGTTAAATAGGTAGATTTCCTATATTAAATATGTAAAGAACTTGCTAAATAAGTTATAGAATTTGTATAAATAAGCCTATTAGCTAATGAATAAAGATGAGAGAAACTATTATACTACAAAGGTTTCCTCTAAGCTTATCAATAGTTAAGATTAAAACTAAATCAAAAGACATAGACAATATAGTGCAGCGAAGAAGAGGACCACCAGCCATCTAAGAGTAAAAACCAATCAACACCGAATCTTCTACAAAATGACACCCAATCCAATACCACTCCAGAAACCAACGAAGTAAAGCTGTGCCACTATACACCACCAATAGAAGAATATATTTGCAAAGGCGAATAAAGGACCTTAAACTGATGGGCTAGGAAAAGCTGCCCTGAAACCAACTTCTTCAACGAAAAGATGCCAGAGAAAAGAAGGAAACCCAGAAGATGCCATCATCGAAGCTGAACCGAAAGCTAGAGAAACCAAAGCCAAATCTCAAACAACAAAACTCCCAAGCTTTCAATTAAAATTCTAAATTAAAATTTACTGTTTAGTTTGTAAATCTTTTTCCATTCAAATCACGAAAATGGAAAAGATAACTTAGTTATACATAAAACAATATCACAAACCAAACAAAGAAAATCTGAGAACTTAGAAAGCAAGATCCACAAAAGTATTACCACATAAAAATGACAAAACTATAGGCATCAACTATAGCTAGACAATGCAAATACAAAAAATAAGGTTTTGAATGAAGATTCAGTTAACCGAAAGATATGTATAACTCGAAACGCTCTAGGGTTTTTCACCAAATATTCGATTTAGATAAATCTGACTATTGGCAGTATTAATAAATTAATTTAATATACTAAATTATTATTTTTTGAGGAAATGCTCTAAAATAATCAAGAATGAGATTTTGATGTGAAATGATACTGCATGAAAATAACTTCTATTTTATGGTTTATAAGTTATGAATACCATTTAAATTTTGTATTAAAGGGATGAAATAATAATGTAAGGTTTAACCATGTTAGAGAAGTGAAACTGCCATCAAGAATGACTGAAAAGAAGGTTCTAGAGAGTAGAACCATATTGTGATAATGGTGACGGATTGGGGTTCAATGCAGTAGGAGAGGAAGTAATGATCTATTAATGTAAAAAAAAATTTATGAAAGCAAATAGTGCATAATTTTTTGTTAGATTGACCACAAAGAAAACATAATGAAATGAGTCTATTTCGGATAGAAAGGATAACAAAGTCATCTATTAAAAGTTTTTTTTAAAAAAATACTAAAAGAATGTGATATATGAGACATAATGAAAGAGATTCTAGTGGAGAAGAAAAAAATAAAACCAAAACCTTGTTTTTGTATCTGCTCGATAAAAACGAATACAAAAGAGATTGGAAAAGGAAAAATAAAAAAGTGACAATTGACGTTACTATACTATATAAGATTTGTACTTTGTTGGATAGTTTGGTTTTTTTATATTTTTGTTTAATAAAAGAGAAGTATCGGAGAAGAAAACAAACTGAAGCTTTTGTTTTTATATTAGTTCAATTAAAAAAATCTAGTAGAAATAGAAAAAAAGAAAAAAGAAAAAATGTCGCATTTTAAATTCTAAGATAACATGTGACAGTATATCAGAGTTGTTTATGCAAAAAGCCTTACTATATTTTTTATTGTTAAAAACCAAAATTATATATGTCATTTTCTTAGATACCACATAATAGTATATCAGAGCTGCTTCTAGAAACAAAAAAAACTTACTTTATTCTGAGAAGAAAAAAAATTTAAACGTTGTTTTTGTGTTGTTCGATAAAAGAGTATATAGTAAAGATAAAAAAAAACAGAGAAAAAGTAACACATGACCTTACTATATTATATAAAATTTGTTTGAGTAATTTGATTTTCGTTTCTGTTTGTTGGATAAAAAATAATAATTTGGAGAAAAGGGAAAAAAAACTTAAGCAATGTTTTATGTTTCTTTGATAAAAGAGAATATAGTAAAGATAGAAAAAAGAAAGAGAAAAAGTAACACATGACCTTATTATATAAGATTTGTTTGAGTGATTTTGATTTTTGTTTCTGTTTGTTGGATAAAATAGAATAATTTGGAGAGAAAAAAAAAATTTGAGCTTTTTTGTGTGTTTCTTTGATAAAACATAACTAAATAGAAAAAAAAACTTACTTTATTCTGAGAAGAAAAAAACTTAAACGTTGTTTTGTGTTTGTTTGATAAAAGAAAATATAGTAAAGATAGAAAAAAAGGAGAAAAAGTAACACATGATCTTTCTCATTATATTATATAAGATTTATTTCAATGATTTGATTATTGTTTCTTTTTGTTGGAGAAAATAATTTAGAGAAAAAAAAAGCTTAACCTTTTTTTTGCATTTGTGTAGTAAAATATAATTAAATAGAAATAATTAAAAAAGAAAATAACATATATTAATTTCTTAGATGCTACGTTTCAGTATATCAGAACTGTTTCTGAAAAATAATCTTATGTTATTAGAATAGATATATTTAAATTTATACACATAAAATTATTGTAATGATTTAATTTAAAATTTTAATTAAACATTAAAAAATTATTTCTCGTAATTTATTTCTTAATATGTACAAAATCTTCCGTAAACAACCATCTGAAAGTCATTTGAAAGTTTGATTCTCTTGCAAAGTCCCATTTGTTCTGAGTGCTCCTTGAAAGAACATATTATGCTAAGTTGAGACGTTTGAAATCATTTATAGTTGATTCTTGTTTGTCGTTTGCTTTCTGAGATCTTATGGATGATTAGAAGAATGAACTTGTTTCCTTTTTATTACTTGAAACGAAAAAATGAGAAAGAACAAATAAGCAGAATCTGTGATTATGTTCACGAGATCAAAGTTTCAAAACTCTGCTCATGAGTTACTGTTTTGACTTATCTTCAAGACCTTTTGGATTCTTACAATGTTATTTTTCTAATGATTTTGGAACGAATCCTAAACTCGTTGAAGAATCACACATTCCTAAGTTACTTTACTTGCAAGCTATTATGAAAGAGACTCTTAGGCTTCATCCTTCACTTCCTCTACTTGTGCCTCACCGGAAGAGCGAAGCCTTGGTGGTTTCGGATTACACGGTTCTGAAATATTTATAGAGATCCTAAGAATTGGGAGGATCCAAATGAATTTAAGCCTGAGAGGTTTCTTGATAGCTCGTTTGATTTCAATGGGAATGATTTTAAGTATTTACCGTTTGGGTCTGGTTGTAGGAATTTTTGCGGTGATTAACATGGCCAAGAGTATGGTTCTATACAATTAGGCTTTACTTCTGCATTCTTTTAAATTGGGAAGCTCCTAGAGGAGAGAGATTTGAAGTTGAGGAAAAGTTTGATCTTGTTCTCAAGTTGAACAAACCACTTAGGCCTGAGAAAAAAAACCTGGACTGAAAACCCAAACCAGAACAGATCTGAAATAACCGGTTTGAATCGGGTTTGGTTATTAGATATTTATCCAACATTTCAAAATTGTGGGTATCGGTTTAGATTCGGTTCCTACCCAACAATGTCAAAATGACCATATGAGGTGGGAAAAGGCACCACGGCTAGTAGTAATAAAAAAAAAAAACCACACGCCTAACTGTTCTAAAGCTTCCTTGGGTAAAGGAACTACGCTAAACTTCTCAGAGTGCATATCAAATGCCATGAGTACATCTTCGTGGTTGCTCTTAAGGGTGGCTATATCAGCTTATGTTTTTTTAACCATAACTTTTTCACTTATATTTGAAGTTTTTGTGAATCTATTGGAGTTTTTCAATCATAGAAATGAAATTCCTATAATTGAAAATCCTCCGCAGAGCTGTGCATGAGCTGTGCAAAAGGCTTTTATAAATAAATTCCGGGAAATATGTGAATAATAACACTTTCAATTTCATATCTATTTTTCTCTCTCAAGACCTCTCCACTAGTAAAAAAAAAAAAAAAAGGACCTCTCCACCTTTCAATTCCTATAGCCATTTCGATTTTCCTATATCTTGTTCTTTTGTAGATTTGCAGAACTGTATACTAGAACTTAAAATTGTTAATTATAGATAAAGTCAATTCCCTATATTTTATAATTTCTAGACTTCTCGTCAAATTCACTTGAGCCGACTGCTTATGTTGTAATTCTAACACTAGGTAAAATAAATGGCAACACCAATTTCTATTTTTATATACAATTATGCTAAACCATATTTGGTGTTTTGTCTATGTATAGATTGTGAAACAAACCAACATATATTTTTTGGACAGAACAACCTTAATCACGAATAAATACTTACTATGCAATTTTCGCAGACTAAAAATCTTGAACAACATTAGAAAGAAAAAGCAAAATGAGTCATCATATACCAGTATTTGGTTATCTTTCATTCTTTTTACAAGACACTAGACGAATCCAGAAGAATAAGCGTACGTGTGGAACCAAATTTTTTGTGTATCGTCTGTTATATCTTGAAATCTGTGGAGCTACAAAATGATCGATTATCTGAAAAATGTAGGTACACTTAGGTCCTCACAAATTATCTGTCCATGATATTATCTTATTCAATAGCTGCCAATTCTCTCGCTCAAGGAGCACTACCATGTCAAGACGTAGAATATGCAAGCCAAAGATTTGATGAAGGATATATTTTTATGGGTTATACCCACAGTAGCGACTTGAACATCTCCTTAAACACATACTAAGGAGATATTGACATCTTTAACAAATAAACATATTAAATTGCTGAACGTTTAGAAACTGATAGTAGTAACTAATAATACATGTCTGACGCTATTGAACCAAACGAACTAAGATCACCAGGAAACATGTTTTCTTCCTCTCACAAACTTGACAAAGCAAGACCTTAAGTTCTACTAAAGATATGCAAACAACAAATTGGTGCTATTCCAAATAGATAAAGTGATGAATAAATGAAGCAAGAGCAGAAAGAAACCTTACCAAACCGTGGAGAGAATTGTTGAGGTTCTCAAATTCAACAATTCGTTCTTAGCCCAATGCGATCATCATTCGACCATTTGAGAGACTCATTAAAGCTTTGTGAGACTCGTGACCAAAAAAATTAATAACAGAACGACATTTCATATGGATGACTAGCATTTTGAGAAATTTTATGTGTGTGTGATTTTATTTTCCACCATTACAATCGATCGGTTTTTCTTATAATTAAAACAAAAAGAGGAGCAAGTCGTAAAAAAAAAATATTAAAACAACAAGAGGAGCTAAGTCGTAAAAGTAATCTCTTCCACCATTACAATCGATCGGTTTTCTTATGATCTTCAATATTAAAGGCCCTTCGCCATATTGCTTTAGCTTCACATGTAGCCTAAAGCATTCTTCGGTGGTCTAATCCAAAGATTCTCAAGAGGACACAAATCCTCCTGTTCTTGCCACTGCTTACGCGGATAGTACCTCTCTTCATCAAACGAATACGATACACAGCGCTTGCAATTGAAACGAAGCCTTGGGAAGTAAACACTATTCCTCATCCATGGGAGGTTAACTCTCACCTCGGAAGAATAAAGACTCGTGAAGATTGTTAAGCCATCAAGCGTAGCGCTATTGATCTGTTTCCATTTGTAAGACTCTAGTGGAAGCTTATAAACAACTGGTTTCTCACCTCCGCATGTAAACATTTTAAACAACACTCCCTTACGCGCCGCCAAGAAAAATCTTTTCTTCTTCCGCTCATACCGATAGCTAAATCTACCTGACATGTAAGGACACGGAGGTGAAGTAGTATAACTAAAAATCCATTCTCGAGAAGACGGTTCAAAGAAATATAATCTTCCTTTATCGTCAAGGCAATAAAAGCGACGGTTTGCATAGACAACATGGTTGTGCTTAAGTGAAACACCATACTGAAGATTGGACTGTAAATCCTCAGTAATCCACTCGGTTGCTCCGGGATGGCAAGTGCTCGTAGTAAACGTACCATGCCGAACATACTTATACGCTAGCAGAACACAAGTACCTGATGTGGGTGCACAGGAGAAAGCGATTGCATCATATGATAACTCAAGCTTTGGTAAGTTTATGAGTTTACGAGTAAACGGATTGAAGAAGAAAAGTTGGTGTGAAACGGTTTTGCGCATAAGTAACCATCCGTCTCTTGAAACACACCGTGGATTTGGCTAGCTCCGGTAGATTCAGTGTGTACATCTTCTGTTGCAAAGGATCATAGAGTTCGAACAAGTTGCCACGTTTAGGTAAGTACATAAGCCAAGGAGGCTTATCCACCAACCGAACATAAAGACCGGCTTCACGCCATGTTTTGCAGACAGCGGAGGCGCGAATATTATCTTTTAAGACAAGTTGAGATATTATTACTTCCAAGAGGCATAATGGAAGGTCAACAAAACTTGGCTTGCTCTCGATGAAACCGTTTCCTTTAGCATCTACGTTTGACCTGTGAAAAAAAAAAATTAGATCACCAAGTGAAGTTGTGATTTGATTTTTTGACGAGTCATAAGACATCAAATTACACAAATCTTTCAGGTCCTATAAATACTGATAGTTTTCAGAGTGATAAAACAAAATGACACTCTGAGAGGAAAGATTACATAATATCTTCTGTAAAATCTTACAACAATCAAGTCATGTTCTTTAATGCGTAACATAAAAACCCAAGAACATTTCAGGTTCTATAAAATCTACACTGAGATTGAAGATTGCATAAAACAAATGTTGTATATAAAATCGTACAACGTTCTAGTCATTGTAGTAAATACCTCTAATGCATCACTTATGAACCCTAGAACATTTCAGATTCTTTTAAATCTGATAAATTCCAGATAAAATTAGACTCGTATTTAAACAAATTTCACGAAACCCCTCGCTCTTACTCCTTAAATCCACTTAATATTCAAATATCCTGAAGATTATAATCTTCAAAAACCGCTTAAAAGGAGCCCTAGAAGATACAGAAGAATGAAACTTACAAGTAAAGCTTTCCCTTCCGGCCAGACATAGTGATAAACGACGATTACGAGAGAGACGAAGGAATTGAAGATTGGTAGCACGAGCCATATATTAAAATTTGCTTTAAGAAAAAAAACAAAATGGCTTATAGAAGAATGGCTAAGTCCCCTCGTAGCCCTTTATATATTACTTCCAAAACCCTTATCAGTGCGAGTTACAGATGACATGGCGGGTATTGTGAGTAATTATTGACAAATAAAGAGGATAGAATCTTTGACCAAAAAAAAACAGGATAGAATCTGGGAGTTTTCAATACAAAATGGCTGAATTTTGTAACGACGAAATTATGAACACAAAGGTTCCAGCGCTTCCGTTTCCAAAATCAAATATATATATGGATATGTGTATTAGAGATCCCGATCTAAATATTTGATTCGGGTTACTATATTTTATACCTCACATATTCGCAATGTATTATGATTTGATCTTTAATTAATTTAAGATCTATTAGTACAGTAGAACCTCTATAAATTAATACTCGATAAATTAATAATCACTATAAATTAATAATTTTTGCCGGTCCCAAGCCGGGCCAGTGTAAAAATTAATAAATTTTGATAAGATAATAAGATAATATTTTTTTTTGAAACTCCAATATAAAAATATAGTCCAAATAATTATATAAATTAATAAGTGTACATTTAAGCATATATAAATAATATAATGTAGTAAAATATAATTATATTATTGTTTCAAGTTTATAAAAATTGTTTGACTTATTTTTTAAATTCACTGATATGATATTTTCTGAATAAATTTTTCAATGTTGACAATATTTTTTTATTTTTTTACAAATATTTTGAATTTTGAACCGAAATATCTCTCTATAAATTAATAAAATATTAATTTCTCGATAAATTAATAATTATTAATTTATCAATTAATTAATAACTCTATAAATTAATAAATTTTTGCAGTCCCAACATTATTAATTTATAGAGGTTTTACTGTATATATCAAAACTATTGCTCATATATATATTACTAGATTAGGACAAGCATATATATATATATTGTGATAATTCAAATTCGGTCTAAAGAATGAACAAGAGTTAATAGGTTTAAAGAGATGCATTTTATTAAGAGTAGCCGAAACTCGAAAGTACACAAAGGTTTTAGGTCGTCGGAATAAGACGGCCGACCCAAAAAGAGTAATGAAAGTAGACTCAAGAGCTTAAAATAACAAAATAGTTAGTTTGCCCTAAGTCTCGAGAGATGATTATGAATGACTTGAGAAGTTAATGGCTTCTATATTTATACCCGATCAGGTCGGTCTTTTAGAAAATAACTTCTTCCCATTCGAGATAGGAAAACTTCCTTGCCGATAAGGCTAATCTTCCGTCTTTTCCATTTATCTAGCCGACCTAAATATTCTTTGGAGTTCTTGAAATGGGCAGATCTCAATGGATGTCGGGCTTTTAGAGTAGGTATAAATCTCATCTCTAACATACATGAGTTTTAAATAACATATTTATAAAGTCATAAAATTAATTTGAAAACAAAATCGGATAATTTATATAGAAAAAATAAAATAAATTAAAAATAATAAAACAAACCTTCAAAAATAAAATAAGTTTATGAGTAATATTTTGTTTTTTCTATTAAGCTTAGTCTTTACCTTTTTAAAAATAAATTTCTTCTCTTAAATGAAATATATAACTTTTTATTATTTTAAATTTATTATATTTTCTTTTAGATATTGTAGTAGTTATTTATTATATCCTTTTTCTAAATAAGTGTTATATTTCCTAAATTTCCTAGAATAAGAACCATTTATAATAACAAATTTTTAAATCCATTAAAATATTTTTTTTTTGAAAAAATAGAAAACAAAATCAAATGAAAAAGTGTATGAAAAAACACAAAATCAAAATGTAGAAGTTATTTATTTTAATTTTCATTCGCTTTCAATTAAATATTCAAAATACAGAATCTGTTGCAAGTCCTAAGCAACATTAGCTTTATTTTTCATTTAGTTTAACACTTTATCAAATATTTTTACACTAAAAGTTTAACAATTTTTGAAAAAAATAGAAAACAAAATCAAATGAAAAAAATGTATGAAAAACACAAAATCAAAATCTAAAAGTTATTTATTATAATTCTTATTCGTTTTCAATTAAAATATTCAAAACACAGAATCTGTTGCACGTCCTAAGCAGTATTAACTTTATTTTTTTTTAGTTTAACACTTTATCAATCTTTTTTTTGTATTTTATTGTGTTAAAAACATAAGTGTGCAATTTGAGTCTTTCAAATATGTTAACTCTCTCCAAACAAACAAAATTTTTCTTTCTCTTCACATTCATCCTCTCGTATATGATTTCTCTTCGTTCGAGAAAAGCTATGGTTCTTAAAACTCGCGTCAACTGATTTTCTACATGACTTTTGTTAATCCTTCTCCTCATTGAGCTTATTATCGTCTAATATCATATCATTAGCATCTAATTTTTTTAATCCTACGTTGTAAATTTGCATGTAATTATTGATACCAAAAACACTTTAGATGAATATAATTTTCAGCAAACGGATTATAAAGGATAAAAATTTGGAATACTGAACAAACGAATCATAATGGTTAAAAATTTGGAATAATATATCATTTTATTTATTTTTAGTTTTCTTAAAAAAATTTAATCACAACACATATCAAAATCTGAATTGAAAAATTCGCCACGTGTCACGATCATATTAGTTACTAACTTTATAGAATAAGATATGTAGCCAAAAAAAAAAATTAAATTATTTTGTTAACAAATAATATCAATAAATTATATCTGATATTAATAAAATTCAAATTAATTTAATTTCAAAATCATTTCAAAATCTTTCAAAATATCTTATAATAATTACCACAAATATATATGGCATGAATAACTAATATAATTATATATATTATATTGTAAATTAAATATATTATATTATAATCAATTTTTTTCTCTATACAATTAAAAGAAAATTACTACTTTAAAATGTCTATAAGCTAATATGATATTTATTAAATGTGATAATTTATATTCAATGATGAATATATAATTATTATTTTTTGGTTACATATATATATATATATATACTATGAAAAAAAATATTATGTAAATAATTTTTTTTCTGGTTTGTTAATGATTTTTTTTCCGGAAATCATGGGTTTGCAGATTTGAGAAATACAAATTTGTAGATTTTATGGGTTTTATAAGTTTTAGCGGGTTTTATAAGTTTTAGCGGAAAATATACTTTTACGAGAAAATGCCGGTTTGACAAGAAATGTGCTTTTGTAGATTTAGCAGAAATACTTGATTTTAGAAATCTGGTCGTAAATCATGATTTTGCAGATTTTATGAGGTTTACGAGAAAACACGTGTTTACAAAATGCAAATAAAGCAATTTTGTGAATTTTATGGATTTTACAGGTTTTAGCGAGGAAATATAGTCACACAGAAAAATGCGGGTTTGTGGGTTTGGAAACTCGATTTTGCAAGTTGGCAGAAACACATGAGTTTAGAAATTTGGTCGTAAAACATGATTTTACGAATTTTACAATTTTACAAAAAATATGGGTTTGTGATTTGGCCAGAAACGTGAATTTGCGGATTTAATGAGGTTTACATGTTTTGGCGGGCTTTATAGGTTTTGATGGAAAATATAGGTTTGCGGGTTTGATAAGAAACGCAATCTGAAGGTTTGACAAAGACACGTATTTTTAGAAATTTAGCCATAGAATACGGTTTTATGGTGTTGGAGAAAACATAAATTTTGGTTTTGTTAAAAAATGGGGGTTTACAGTCTTGGAAGGAAAATACGGTTTGATGGAAAATGCTATTTTTTACAGTTTCTACGGAAATTCCTGATTTTTGTATAACAACATGATTTTAGTAATTTTTGATTTTGTTTAAAAATGTGGGTTTATAGTTTTGGCAGGAAAATATTATTTGACAGAAATGCTATTTTTACAGTTTCTATGGGAATTTCTAATTTTGGTACAACAATGTGATTTTTGTATTTTGCAGGAAAATGAGGTTTTTTCGATAGAAAACTCTGATTTTATTGTTTTGACAAAGAAAAATTTGATTTTATGGTTAAAATTAAAAGGTTTTTTTGGTCTTTTAATTTTTGAGATTCAAATGCTGCATCCAAAATTTATATTTTAGCATTTTAAATATTCACATTTTGAGATATTATAGATTTTGTATCCAGATATTTAAAAGAACAATATTTGAACATTTACATCCAAATAAGTATCTGAATGCAAAAAAAAAAACAAAACCTAAGTAAATATAAAATCTCTCTTGCATTATAAAACATAATATTTTGAAAATATTTGTTACAAAATTTAACCGAAAATTCGCTAATCAAAATATTTATTTTTTAGAAAATCAAGCTTAAATAATTTCAAGAACATAAAATCATAATGTAAAAATAGTTTCTATGATCTAATAAAAAAATGGTTTGGGCCACAATTTTGGATATAATAATATAAGCCAATTTTTTTGAACAAAAGTTTAATATAAACTGATTTTTGGTGTGGCTTAAAAATATTTTATGAAAAGAAACCCGCACAAATGCACTGATCCAAAATCTAGTGTCTCAGTTATACAGATAAAAATTATCGTAACTAATTGTTTTTTCAACAAAAAATTATCATCTATACTATTAAAAGAGAATCATTCTTGATAAATATTCAAAAGCTACTATGGTATTTGCAATATATGCCATTGCATTTACTAGACAATTTTATTAATTCATTAAAGGTAATTTAGTCATATCATTAAACTACTAAAAATATATTAAATTAAATTAAATTAAATTAGTTTATTAACAGATAATAACAATAAATTATATCTGATATTAATAAAATTCAAATTAATTTAATTTCGAAATTCTTTCAAAATCTTTCATAATATCTTAACATAATTACCACAAATATATATGGCATGAATAACTAATATAATTATATATATTATATTATAAATTAAATATATATTATATTATAATTAATTTTCTTCTCTATACAAGTAAAAGAAAAGCACTAATTTAAAATGTCTAAAAGCTAATATGATATTTATTAAATGTGACAATTT